CCTGCTGCTGCCTGCCGCTCCTGCCTGCTGCTGGCTGCTGCCTGCTCCTGCCTGCTGCTGGCTGTTGCTGGCTGTTGCTGGCTGCTGCTGGCTGCTGCTGGCTGCTGCTGGCTGCTGCTGGCTGCTGCTGGCTGCCTAACGCCGGCTGCTGCTGGTTGCTGCTGCCGGATGCTGCCTGCCAGCCACGTACTGCTGCCTGCTGCTGGCTGCTGCTGGCTGGTGCGGGCTGCTGCTGGCTGCTGCTGGCTGCTACCTGCTGCCTGCTGCCTGCTGCTGCCTGGCAGTATAAAAGTAGCAGTGCAGCACCTCTTCTTCCCTTACGCGCTCCCCCTTCAATCTCAATGCTATGCTGGCTACTGGCTCGCTGCCGTTCCTCTTACTGCTACTGATGCTGCTGGAACCCTAGACAAAAATTCTATTGGAGCTGCTGCTGCTGCTGCTAGCTGACCCTTCACAGCTTCCGGCAAGGAAACCCCATGCTAATGAGAGGCGACAGCGACTGCTGCTGCTGTGCCCACAAAGGCACAGCCCTGCGGAAACACCATGGCCCTGAAGGACGAACGGAATCCAAAATATGCGTTTCCCGAGGCCGGAACGTCCCTTCTGAAATCTCCTACAAATATTATAGTAGTAGTAGCAAGCTGCTGGCTCGCTGCTAGCTGCTGCACTCCTGCCGTTGCGCTTACTGCTGCTGCGTCTGCTTGTGTCTGCTGCTGCCTACTGATGCCTGCTGCTGCCTGCTGCTGCCTGCTGCTGCCTGCTGCTGCCTGCGGCTGCCTGCTGCCTGCTGCTGGTGCTGCTGCTGGTGGCTGCTGCTGCTGTGGTGCTGCTGTCGTGCTGCTGCAATCAAACAGCTTCCAAAGCAAGAAACAACTGCTGCTGCTGCTGCTGCTGCTGCTGTGCCCACAAAGACACGGCCCTGCCGGACGGGGAAACACCATGGCCCTGAAGGACGAACGGAGTCCAAAATATGCGTTTCCCGAGGCCGGAACGTCCCTTCTGAAATCTCCTAAAAAAAGCTTGTCTCCTAGAATGTCTCCTAGAATCCTAGAAAAAGCTTGCTATACGTTTCTCGATGCTGGCTACTGGCTCGCTGCTAGCTGCTGCACTGCTGCCGTTGCGCTTACTGGTACTGATTCCTCTTACTGCTACTGATGCTGCTGGAACCCTAGAAAAAAAATCTATTGGAGCTGCTGCTGTGCCCACAAAGACACGGCCCTGCCGGACGGGGAAACACCATGGCCCTGAAGGACGAACGGAGTCCAAAATATGCGTTTCCCGAGGCCGGAACGTCCCTTCTGAAATCTCCTACAAAAAGGAATCCTGCTGCCTGCTGCCCGCTGCTGCCTGCCGCTCCTGCCTGCTGCTGGCTGCTGCTTGCTCCTGCCTGCTGCTGGCTGTTGCTGGCTGCTGCTGGCTGCTGCTGGCTGCTGCTGGCTGCCTAACGCCGGCTGCTGCTGGTTGCTGCTGCCGGATGCTGCCTGCCAGACACGTACTGCTGCCTGCTGCTGGCTGCTGCTGGCTGGTGCGGGCTGCTGCTGGCTGCTGCTGGCTGCTACCTGCTGCCTGCTGCCTGCTGCTGCCTGCTGCTGCCTGCTGCTGCCTGGCAGTATAAAAGTAGCAGTGCAGCACCTCTTCTTCCCTTACGCGCTCCCCCTTGCATCGGCCAGGGTCAGCGAATTATTATTATTCTTTCCTGCCCTGCCGGACGGAGAAACACCATGGCCCTGAAGGACGAACGGAGTCCAAAATATGCGTTTCCCGAGGCCGGAACGTCCCTTCTGAAATCTCCTACAAAAAGGAATCCTGCTGCCTGCTGCCTGCTGCTGCCTGCCGCTCCTGCCTGCTGCTGGCTGCTGCTTGCTCCTGCCTGCTGCTGGCTGTTGCTGGCTGCTGCTGGCTGCTGCTGGCTGCCTAACGCCGGCTGCTGCTGGTTGCTGCTGCTGGTGCTGCTACTGGTGGCTGCTGCTGCTGTGGTGCTGCTGTCGTGCTGCTGCAATCAAACAGCCTCCAAAGCAAGAAACAACTGCTGCTGCTGCTGCTGCTGCTGCTGCTGTGCCCACAAAGACACGGCCCTGCCGGACGGGGAAACACCATGGCCCTGAAGGACGAACGGAGTCCAAAATATGCGTTTCCCGAGGCCGGAACGTCCCTTCTGAAATCTCCTACAAAAAGGAATCCTGCTGCCTGCTGCCTGCTGCTGCCTGCCGCTCCTGCCTGCTGCTGGCTGCTGCCTGCTCCTGCCTGCTGCTGGCTGTTGCTGGCTGCTGCTGGCTGCTGCTGGCTGCTGCTGGCTGCCTAACGCCGGCTGCTGCTGGTTGCTGCTGGTTGCTGCTGCCGGATGCTGCCTGCCAGACACGTACTGCTGCCTGCTGCTGGCTGCTGCTGGCTGGTGCGGGCTGCTGCTGGCTGCTGCTGGCTGCTGCTGGCTGCTACCTGCTGCCTGCTGCCTGCTGCTGCCTGCTGCTGCCTGGCAGTATAAAAGTAGCAGTGCAGCACCTCTTCTTCCCTTACGCGCTCCCCCTTGCATCGGCCAGGGTCAGCGAATTATTATTATTCTTTCCTGGCAGCTGTGTCATAAACTCTTTTTCCCTTACGCACTCCCCCTTGCGTCTGCCGGGGTCGGCGGATATCTTTAGGTCACCTTCAAGGCAGAGCACTAGCTGTGAAGCGTATTGCTGATGTTGCCGTGCTACAGCATTCAGGGTTGATGCGGTGGGCGACATCGTGCCACCAGCATTGTCCAGAGTGATGGAAAAGAAGGACATGCAAAGCTTCAAGAGTGCTCAGGGGAGTACGGGGTACCCTCTGGTAATCAAATGTGGCAATTAACCATTCCCTATTTATAGATGATTTTCCTAAGAAAAGCTCCATCTTTAAAAGGGGTTTTCGATTGTCGCCGCGTTTGATTACCAGAGGGTACAGGTACATATTTTAACAATCAGTCTGATGGTGTTGGGATGCCCTTCAGCTCCACGCATGAAGGGATGATCCATGGGTTTGTGAAGGAGAGCATTGAGTTCCATCAAGTCACTATCAAACCTGATGGGAGGCTACTGACATTATTATTATACAAAGACTTTTCTTGGAAAGTTTTTCCTTTGGGGAGCAATTGTTTCGTTTTGGATCCCCATGACTTTGAAGATAAGCTTTGGACTGAGCCTACGCCCAGGGGTAGTCATCTTCGCTAGGAGGAGTGGACCCCTGCCCTGACAGCATTGGTAGCAGACATTGTCCCATCAGCCTCAGTCTCAGCATTCACCCCTTACTCCCCAGGTGTGAAGCTGAGCAGCTTCTTTATCTTTTCATAATTTTCCATGTGCGGACAGCACCAAGCCATCATGAGAGGGGTGCCGGGCGCTTCCCCAGGTGATGCGTGGTGTGTTGAGCCACCACCAGGGTTGGTCCCCCGCGCTGATGCAGCTGGTTGGGGATGTCGTTCCCCCAGTTCTCAGCTCTGTGCTGAAGAACAGGCTGGGTTTCAATGCAGGGCATGCGCAAAGGATTGGGACATACTGGGACCCTAGGGGAGTTGTCTCTTGACTCCAGACTATACATACACATACATATTTTTACATACGAACATTACATTACATTACTTTGCTTTACATTTACATTTGCATTTACTGTACATTACATTACATATATACATATATCATATATACATGATGCTGAGCATATATATATATACATAATATACATATCATTCGGATGTTGCTAAGGCTCCTCCACGAATCTGGCAATCTGTTTCACTTCAAGCTTGAAACGAATCGGTCGGCATTTTTTTAAGCCCAAGACATATTTTTTCGGCCGCATTTTCCACAAAGAAAAGTTGCTGAATATTTTCCAGAAGATTTTCCATCCCAAACTTGGACAGTCTCAGTTTCCCCAATCTTGGACACTCATCCCAAACTGCCCCAAACTCAGAATCCTCCCAGTTTCTCCCAGTTTCTCCCAGTGCCAGGGAGTGGACTCCCGCCTTGCTGGAGTTCGTGGGTGAGGTGGTCCCTGTGATCATCGCCCTGGTGCTAAGAAGGCGGAAGGAGATTCGCTGTCTATATGTACAACTATGTGCACACACAGAGACATAATATATAATTATGCATATGTATCTGTATATGTATATATAAATGTATAAGATATTACACATACACGTTTTTACTAGTTAAGGAATTTTGACATATATCTATTTATTATACTTTATATCAGTCTATATGCACATACACATATACATATTTAAGGGCTGACGCCCCTCGTCGGCTCCGCCGGATTTCTCGACCCTCCATTTCATCGCAGTGTGGGCTTGAAAGCTTTTGGATGGGGACCTACTTCAGAAATATATTCCTTATGTTTTTTGAAAAAAGTTCATGGAATAGGAACTTTGTTGGAAATAGACGGCTTTTTTGGGGAGCAAGTGAGTTCCCGAAAGCTCCTGCCAAGAGTTTGTCCCGAACAACTGCTGCCAATTTCAACTGGTTACTTCGTGTAAAGGCGCCTCTGTGCAAAGACTTCTGTGTGTAAAAGCTTTTGCGTGTAAAAGTTTCTGTGTGTAAAAACCACTTTGTGTATAAAGACTTCTTTGTGTAAAAGCTTCTGTGTGTGAAAGCTTCTCTGTGTGAAAGCGCGTCTGTGTAAAGATTTCACTGTGTGTAAAAGCTTCCGTGTGTAAAACTCTCTGTGTAAAGGCTTCTCTGTGTAAAAGCTTCTGTGCGTAAACGCGTCTGTGAGTGAAAGAAAGCTATATATTTGTGTAACGACTTCTTCGTGCAACAGCTTCTGTGTGTAAAGGCTCCTAGACGTTTGTGTGCAAAAGCTCCTTAAAGTAAAGACTTCTCTGTGTAAAACTTCCCCGCCAGGATTTGGCCAAAAACGGCCGTTTCCCAATGATCCCAGAAGAGAAATTCAATAGCCGGCCGAGGGACCGCCAAATGGCAGAAATATGCTTCCGAAAGGCTCCCGGCCAGGATTTGGGCAAAAACGGCCGTTTCCCAATGATCCCAGAAGAGAAAGTCAATAGCCGGCCGAGGGGCCGCCAAATGGCAGAAATATGCTTCGAAAAGGCTCCCGGCTAGGATTTGGCCAAAAACAATAGCCGGCCGAGGGGCCGCCAAAAGGCAGAAATATGCTTCCAAAAGGCTCCCGGCCAGGATTTTGCCGAAAATTGCCGTTTCCCAATGATCCCAGAAGAGAAAGTCAATAGCCGGCCGAGGGGCCGCCAAAAGGCCGAAATTTGCTTCCAAAAGGCTCCCGTGTGTAAAAAGCTCCTTTGTGTACAGACTTCTCTGTGTAAAAGCCCCTGTGTGTGTAAAAGCTTGCTGTGTGCAAATGCTTTTGTGTGTAAAAGCTCCTCTGTGTAAAGGCTTCTCTGTGTAAAAGCTTCTGTGTGCAAACGCGTCTGTGCGTAAAAAATCATCTGTGTAAAGACGTCTTCGTGTAAAAACTTCTGTGTGAAAAAGCTCCTAGACGTTTGTGTGCAAAAGCTCCTTAGAGTAAAGCCTTCTCTGTGTAAAACCTTCTGTGTGTAAAAAGCTCCTTTGTGTACAGACTTCTCTGTGTAAAAGCCCCTGTGTGTGTAAAAGCTTGCTGTGTGTAAATGCTTTTGTGTGTAAAAGCTCCTCTGGGTGAAGGCTTCTTTTCTGTGGTAAAAAATTGTAAAAGTCTGTGGCAACGTTTTCTGTCTGTGCGTAAAAAATCATCTGTGTAAAGACGTCTTCGTGTAAAAACTTCTGTGTGAAAAAGCTCCTAGACGTTTGTGTGCAAAAGCTCCTTAGAGTAAAGCCTTCTCTGTGTAAAACCTTCTGTGTGTAAAAAGCTCCTTTGTGTACAGACTTCTCTGTGTAAAAGCCCCTGTGTGTGTAAAAGCTTGCTGTGTGTAAATGCTTTTGTGTGTAAAAGCTCCTCTGGGTGAAGGCTTCTCTGTGTAAAAGCTTCTGTGTGCAAACGCGTCTGTGCGTAAAAACTCTCTCTGTCAGGCCTTCTTCGTGTAAAAAGTTCTGTGTGAAAAAGCTCCTAGACGTTTGTGTGCAAAAGCTCCTTAGAGTAAAGACTTCTCTGTGTAAAACCCTCTGCGTGTAAAAAGCTCCTTTGTGTAAAGGCTTCTCTGTGTAAAAGCCCCTGTGTGTGTAAAAGCTTGCTGTGTGCAAATGCTTTTGTGTGTAAAAGCTCCTCTGTGTAAAGGCTTCTCTGTGTAAAAGCTTCTATGTGCAAACGCGTCTGTGTGTAAAAAGCCCTCTGTGTAAAGACTTCTTTGGGTAACAGCTTCTGTGTGTAAAGGCTCCTAGACGTTTGTGTGCAAAAGCTCCTTAGAGTAAAGACTTCTCTGTGTAAAACCTTCTGTGTGTAAAAAGCTCCTTTGTGTAAAGACTTCTCTGTGTAAAAGCCCCTGTGTGTGTAAAAGCTTGCTGTGTGCAAATGCTTTTGTGTGTAAAAGCTCCTCTGTGCAAAGGCTTCTCTGTGTAAAAGCTTCTGTGTGCAAACGCGTCTGTGCGTAAAAAATCATCTGTGTAAAGACGTCTTCGTGTAAAAACTTCTGTGTGTAAAAGCTCTAAGAAGTTTGTGTGCAAAAGCTCCTTAAAGTAAAGACTTCTCTGTGTAAAACATTCTGTGTGTAAAAAGCTCCTTTGTGTAAGGACTTCTCTGTGTAAAAGCTTCTGTGTGTGTAAAAGCTTGCTGTGTGTAAATGCCTTTGTGAAGGCTTCTCTGTGTAAAAGCTTCTGTGTGCAAACGCGTCTGTGTGTAAAAAGCCCTCTGTGTAAAGACTTCTTTGTGTAACACCTTCTGTGCGTAAAGGCTCCTAGACGTTTGTGTGCAAAAGCTCCTTAGAGTAAAGACTTCTCTGTGTAAAACCTTCTGTGTGTAAAAAGCTCTTTTGTGTAAGGACTTCTCTGTGTAAAAGCCCCTGTGTGTGTAAAAGCTTGCTGTGTGTAAATGCTTTTGTGTGTAAAAGCTCCTTTGTGTGAAGGCTTCTCTGTGTAAAAGCTTCTGTGTGCAAACGCGTCTGTGTGTAAAAAGCCCTCGGTGTAAAGACTTCTTTGTGTAACAGCTTCTGTGTGTAAAGGCTCCTAGACGTTTGTGTGCAAAAGCTCCTTAGAGTAAAGACTTCTCTGTGTAAAACCTTCTGTGTGTAAAAAGCTCCTTTGTGTAAAGACTTCTCTGTGTAAAAGCCCCTGTGTGTGTAAAAGCCTGCTGTGGGTAAATGCTTTTGTGTGTAAAAGCTCCTCTGTGTGAAGGCTTCTCTGTGTAAAATAAGCTTCTGTGTGCAAACGCGTCTGTGTGTAAAAACCCCTCTGTGTAAAGACGTCTTCGAGTAAAAAGTTCTGTGTGAAAAAGCTCCTAGACGTTTGTGTGCAAAAGCTCCTTGGAGTAAAGACTTCTCTGTGTAAAACCTTCTGTGTGTAAAAAGCTCCTTTGTGTAAGGACTTCTCTGTGTAAAAGCCCCTGTGTGTGTAAAAGCTTGCTGTGTGTAAATGCTTTTGTGTGTAAAAGCTCCTCTGGGTGAAGGCTTCTCTGTGTAAAAGCTTCTGTGTGCAAACGCGTCTGTGTGTAAAAATTCTCTCTGTCAGGCCTTCTTCGTGTAAAAAGTTCTGTGTGAAAAAGCTCCTAGACGTTTGTGTGCAAAAGCTCCTTAGAGTAAAGACTTCTCTGTGTAAAACCTTCTGTGTGTAAAAAGCTCCTTTGTGTAAAGACTTCTCCGTGTAAAAGCCCCTGTGTGTGTAAATGCTTTTGTGTGTAAAAGCTCCTCTGTGTAAAGGCTTCTCTGTGTAAAAGCTTCTGTGTGCAAACGCGTCTGTGTGTAAAAACTCAATCTGTCAGGCCTTCTTCGTGTAAAAAGTTCTGTGTGAAAAAGCTCCTAGACGTTTGTGTGCAAAAGCTCCTTAGAGTAAAGCCTTCTCTATGTAAAACCTTCTGTGTGTAAAAAGCTCCTTTGTGTAAGGACTTCTCTGTGTAAAAGCCCCTGTGTGTGTAAAAGCTTGCTGTGTGTAAATGCTTTTGTGTGTAAATGCCTTTGTGAAGGCTTCTCTGTGTAAAAGCTTCTGTGTGCAAACGCGTCTGTGTGTAAAAAGCCCTCTGTGTAAAGACTTCTTTGTGTAACAGCTTCTGTGTGTAAAGGCTCCTAGACGTTTGTGTGCAAAGGCTCCTTAGAGTAAAGACTTCTCTGTGTAAAACCTTCTGTGTGTAAAAAGCTCCTTTGTGTAAGGACTTCTCTGTGTAAAAGCTTCTGTGTGTGCAAAAGCTTGCTGTGTGTAAATGCTTTTGTGTGTAAAAGCTCCTCTGTGCAAAGGCTTCTCTGTGTAAAAGCCCCTGTGTGTGCAAACGCGTCTGTGTGTAAAAACTCTCTCTGTCAGGACTTCTTCGCGTAAAAACTTCTGTGTGTAAAAGCTCTCAGAAGTTTGTGTGCAAAAGCTCCTTAAAGTAAAGACTTCTCTGTGTAAAACCTTCTGTGTGTAAAAAGCTCCTTTGTGTAAGGACTTC